AATCATCTGTAATATACGTGGGATCTATGTTACCATCAGCTGTAATGGTTTGCATAGGTCCACGTTTATGAGAAGTGATTGCTTTAATACCAACTTAAATGATCCGAGTCAAAATTCATTATTATCTTAATAACTCTTCTGGTTAAGATTCACAAACCTTCAAAACCTCAAGCACACTTATATATCAAACTTATTCATAATTCTATCCAGGTGAGATTCAAAGCGTTACACAACTTTTCAAAGCTAATGCTTCGGACATTAAAGCATAATTAGATGGAACTAATTTATTAAAACCAATCACCAACTTTTCCGTGTTAATCGTTGATCACCACACCAATTCCATAACTTCTTTTAATCAAAGGATCCATCAGACTTCACTGAGCTTCTCTAACAATATAATGAGGAAGGCCACCTCTGTAGCTCTAATGTATACATATGCGCTTGTCTAATGTTTCAGGGAGACATACAACACATTATTTTCCATATTCATTTTTAGAGTTTCATGTTTTTCAATTATGTGTAGTGCAAATATTAAAAATAATTATTATTATTAATGAATGAATACATGTGCAAATATTAAAATTAATAATTATTATTAATGAATGAATACATAAAGAATTTTATTAAGAGTATTTTAATAATTTTAGTATTTAAACTACATTTTTAATATGTAATTTAGCCTAAATAATATTTTTCTATTTTTTTTAACCACACTATTTTTCATATTAAATGCACAAAAACACACGCAAGGTAGGCATCTGGGCATAATTATGGTCATATACTAAACTGCTAAGGGCTCATAAATTATAATAATTTTTTTCATAAATAATTAATTAGAATATTTAAAAATAGTAATTAATAAATTAATTTTAATATGTTAAAAATAAATTTTAATTATTTTATCAACTCATAAATATAATTATTAATTATTTTTTAATAATTAAATTAAATTAAATTGATATTTAAAAAAATAATATTTAAAAATTTGTGGGTAACGATGGGCTTGGTGCACCTAGTGGCTCTATGATCTTCCTTCCTAATGGAAAATTGGAACCACAATTGCACCTTGACTAATTGACCAAGATCGCAAAAGTCATTTCTCCTTTGTTATAAACGCGTTTTCAATCGTAGCATTCAAAGTGGACTCTTGTTATGTCCCACACCAAATGACTTTGAAGCTGAATATTTTTTCCACACTTCATGCAATTACTAAGTAACTTCACCCAATTTTCTTGTTCTTTTTCTCTCTATTAATTTTTATGTTAATGTCTTATATAAATGTATATATAGTTAATAAACTTTTGTTTTTGTACATTAGAAAGTTAGTTACTTGATAATATAAAATTTTAAACTTCTAATATTAACTTTAAATCGAAATCTTTAAGTTAATAAATATCAATTTGACTAAATCAAGATTTTTAAATTAATAAATACTTTCAACTGTTTCTTTTGTCTTGTGAAAAAGAAAAATGTCCCTGAAAGGATGGTAACGAACCCACATATTTATGTGAAATCTGGGTTTTGTCGATCCCAATCTGGTATCTAGAATAATTGCATAAGAACCATGCTACCAAGCTGCCTGGTCAGCTAGCAACTGACTAATTGAATATCATCCATCCAAGGAAATAGAAATAAACGTACCTTAAACACGATTGCACTGGCCAAAATTGTTAATGCCGTAAAGATATGGGAGATACAACAGCTGTGTTTGAAGGCATCAAAAGCCTGCAATTGAAGACAGAGCTCCCATCATAAGTACTCACCAGTAAATTGAAAAACAGTAAAAATAACACCTCAATTTTAAGTTTTAAGCTTTTACATCCAATTTCCTGTTTTTATTCTTTCTCACACAAAGCAACTTGCCCAATTAAATTTAAACATAAACAGATTGACAAATAAAAGCATACATAGTTTCAAATCATAGGTATCATTACCTTATTTAAATAGTTCATTTGAGTAAGCACACAGTTAAGAACCACCATGATGAAAACCCAAGTTTGAGGATATGCTAAACTGATGCATTCCCGAAAATGTTAACTTCAAAACAATTCCAAGAACTTTAACACTCATGACCTGTCAGAAATGTTAACAATAAATAAGAATGAATGAATACATAAATAAAATAGACATGAAGAATAGCACAGAACATTAATCAGATTGAAGAAGAGGATAACTGCCAACAACTTACAACATACTGACGGTAAGCCCATGAGTGAGCAAATGCCAGTATAGACCATCACATTTGTCTGACCATGTTACAAACCCCTCAGTCCCCATTCTATTACCATCATCATCATCATCATTATCTTCACTTTCCAGGTATCACTGTTGTACTCTCATTGCCTTTAAAAAAAAAAAAAAAACTGTTGTATTCTCATTTTCTCTTTCACCAGTTGATTCCGTCTTCATATAGACTGAAAACGCAAAATGCATTCAAAGACGCAGAGAATTTCAGGTTGAATTGTTTGTTTTGATCATAGATTTTAAGATTGGTGATGTTTTTGGCTTTGGGTGTGAAGAGGATCAAGATTGGGAATCAAAGGAAACTGAAGTACCTCTTTTCTGTTA